GCCCACCTCCAGTAGCCCTCCCTCCCTCAATGCAAGCCTTGTTTTTTGGGGGGGAATGAAGAGCCCCCCCCGTTCCTTCAGGGCGAGGCAACAGATGTGCCAGTCCTTTGAGCCGCCCGGGCAGCAGTTGTGCAGCCCCCACCTCAAATGGGGGCAGCAGGAGCCACTGCAGAGCTGCTAAATTAAACACCCTCGAGCATCCCATAATAAAGACGAAGCTGCTGCCCCCTTGGCAGAACCCTTTATTGGAGCAGAAAGGACCAAGCCACAAAGCCCGTCCCTGTCTGGTACTGGAGCAAGTCAGGTCAGGCTGAGCAGCGGCTAGCTCTGAAGGGTTTAAAAACAACTTTCTAGTCCTTAAGAACCCTGTGGGTGGCGCAACCACCAGCCCTCCCAGCCCCCATTAATTTACCCCACCCTTTATGGCACCCACTGCAGACGGACCCCTCAGGCCCCCCGCTGCCGCCTTGCAGTGGCAAGAGACCCTCCTTAAGGATTCCTGATTGACTGCAGCTCCGGCTGGGAGCAGAAGGGGCTGCGGATTGGGCCCCGCTGGGCTTGTACCACATGATTCTGAGTTGGGGGGGGGATAGCCAAAGGGACCACCTTGCTGCCAGTTTCCCCCAGAGGGATGGCCACTTGCCCCATGGCTTGGCCTCTTGGCCCCTTTTAAAACAGCTGGGCAAGGGGCAAACCAGAGCCCGCAGCTGGCCTGGCCTTCGATGCCCATTTGCGCAGCACCGCGACAAAGGATGATGACCCTCCACAAAATGTGGGCCTGGACAGGTCAATAGCCCACGGGGAAAGGGAAAAAGGAAAGTGCTGCCCCCCAAAGGGCCTTTCCTGCCAAGTCAGGGAGAGCCCCCAGCTGACATCACACAACCACAGAGGAGCAAGACCCACCGAACTGCCACCCGACCCCCGCTGGGCCCCCCTCCTTCTGTGGGGACAGAGGGCAGGATCAGTCCTCTCCACACTCAAGGCAAAGTCCGTCTTCCTGCCCAGACCCCCAAACGCAGCGGCCACAACCCCCACCCGCCCCTACTCTGTGACTTCAGGGACAATGTTCATCAGCAGCGCCTCGTAGCTGCGCCGGACCAGCAGCGTGAGGGTCTTCTGGCTCCGCACGGCCTCGTAGATGTCCTCTGCCCGCCGGGACGCCTGGCCATTGATCTCCATGACCACGTCCCCCGCCTTGAGCCCCGCCCTGCGGTGAGAGCAGAGTAGGGGGGTGAAGGCAGAGAGACAGGCCAGAGACTCCTTGCTCTGCCCTCCAGCCAGGGGGAAGTGGGAACCCAAAGCCTAGAAGTCTAGGGTGGGGAGGGACCTCAGGGGTCATCTAGTCCAACCCCCATCAAGGCAGGTGGGCGTCACACTTACTGATGTGCCGGAGAGCCAATGATGACCTTGTGGATGAGGACCCCGTAGGAGACATCGGGGAAGGCAGGATCCCTTATCTTCAACTCAGACAGGATGCTGGGGAGGGAGAGGGAGCCACAAGGTTAGGATTCCAGCAGGCTGGCGGGGAGGGAAGGCTCTATGCAGACACCCAAGGATGTGGGGCGCTGCTTCCCTGGGGCCAGCAGAGAAGACCCTCTGCCCCAGCCGCTTAGGGAGAACCAGGGCCCACTCTAGAAGCAACCAGCCCAAGGCGGGGGGACCTGCACTGCCGCCCCCCTAGGGCCTGGAAGGATCTGGCACTGAGCACCTACCTGGGCGTCAAGGTCAGCATCATCACCCCAATGTAGCGCCTCTTGCCGTCTGTGCTGCCAAACCAGGAGTCTGGAGGGGGGGGAGGAGAGGCTGTCACTGACCCCAGGGGGAAGGAGACTCTGGGGCCCCCTCCATGCTGGAAGCCCACCCAGCCTAAGAGAGACTCAAGGCTGCCAGGAGGAACATCCCTGGGTTGTGGGGGCTCAAGGCAGCCCCACCATATAGTGGCCCATCCCACCTCTCTCCCCTGGCAGGCTCAGCACCCATGGAAGGGGGGCAGATCCTCACCCTTGCGCTTCTCCTCCTGCTCCAGGAAGGCTCTCAGTCGGTCGGAGGGGATGGCGAAGGAGATCCCGGGGGTCACCTTCATGGTGTTCACCCCAATCACCTCGCCGTCCTAGGAGGCAGGGAGAGGAGCCCCAGGGCAGCCACTTCAGGTTGGCTTTCGGGGGGGGGGGAGAGAAAAGCTTTGCTCCCACCCTCCTAACACTCCTAGCCATCCAGCAAAGATGAACACTGGGCAATTCGGGACTGATAGAGGGACGTCCCTCTTTACGCAATGCATAGTTAAACACTGGAACTCCCTCCCACAGGAGACAGGGGTGGCCGCCAGCCTAAATGGCTTTAAAGGAGGATGAGACTGCGTGGAGGAGGAGGCTGGCCGGGCTCTGCCCCCCCCCCCGAGACAGCCCTGCTTCTGAATGCCAGTTGCTGGAAACCGCAGGAGAACAGAGTTGCTCCTGGGCCCAGATCCCTTTGTGGCATCTGGTCAGCCACTGTGAGAACAGGATGTGGAACCAAATCCCCCCCCCCCGGCCTGATCCAGCAGCAGCAGGCTCTTAGGAGCCAAGCCCCCTGTGGCACCTGGGAAATGAAGGGCCTGTTCCCCGACCAGTCAACGAGCAAAGACCCCCACCCTGTGCAAGCAGAAGCCCCCATTCCCAGGAAATATGCAGAGGACGGGGGACTTACCAAGTTGAGGAGGGGTCCCCCGGAGTTTCCAAACTGCAAAGCAGAAAACCGGAGAGGAAGTCACTTGGAGTGACCCAGAGCTGCCCCTGGTCCCTTTGGGCGCCCCCACCCTCACCACAAGGGACAGGAGGGAGGCCCAGGAATCACCCAGGCCCCTCCCGCATGGCAGGGGCAGCACCTGCGCCACTCAGGGGACAGGCCAACAAAAAGCCCCCCCCCACGCTGCCCCCCTCCCGGCTCTCATGCCCAGCAGGCCTTACGTCAATGGCTGCGTCCGTCTGTATGTACTCCATGTCCGAAGCTGCCAAGCCCAGCTCCCGCCCCCCTCGCTGGGCAGAGCTGACGATGCCAGAGGTGATGGTGTTCTGCAGGGCGAAGGGGCTGCCCATGGCCACCACAAACTCCCCCTGGCGCACATCAGAGGAGCGGCCCAGGGGCAGCGTGGGCAGCGGGCGCTGGGGGGGGAGGAGGAGGAAAGAGACAGGTGTCAGTACCAGGACACAGCATGGGAGAGCCCCCCCCCCGCATGCTGAGCTCTCCTTCCGGCCTCATCTGGACTCCTCTCTCACGGGTGAGGGGCGGAAGCCTGGCCCCACTTCTGGGGGTCAGGAAATCATTAGGAGACCTGCTCTGGCTTCTGGCCCACCAATCTCAACTTTCCAACAGGCTGCCCCCTCCCTGCCCAGCTCACAGAGCCAAGGGGCACTGCTGCAAATCACCCGCTGCCCCAGTGCACTCACCTTGGCATTGATCTTGATGGTGGCGATGTCGGCCACCTGGTCCACCTGCCTCACTACGGCGTCATAGAGCTCCCCGCTGGCCAGGCGCACCCGCACCCGCTTCCGGTTGGCCACCACGTGGGCGTTGGTGACTATCAGCCCATCCGCAGACACCACGAAGCCGGAGCCGTTGGAGATGGGCACCTCCCGGCCGGAAAATGGGTGCCTGTGGGAAGCAGGAGGGAATGAGGGACATGGGGACCAGGACCAGGCAAGGGACACACACAGCCGGGCACACGTCAAGGACTCCAGCAGGGCCAGGATCAGTTCTCACAGTGGCCAACCAGGTGTCCCCATGGGAAAATGTAAACAGGACAGGGCCTTCTGGGTGGTGGCTGCTGCCAGACCACTTGGAACTCCTTCCCTAGAGAAGCCGGACTGGCTGCCTGCTTGCTGTCCCTCTACTTTTGGAAATGCACTGCTTTGAATGGAAAAGCTGGTGTGGTGGTGTTTCTACGGTTGGGATCTTCCTGCTCTCCTCCTTCTTGCATCTGGCAGTGGCCACATAACACTGGTCCTGAGAGATCTGCATTGGCTCTCAGTATGTTTCTGAGCACAATTCAAAGCGTTGGTGCTGACCTTGAAAGCCCTAAACAGCCTCAAAGGCCCAGTAGACCTGAAGGAGCGTCTCCATCCCCGTCGTCGTTCTGCCTGGACACGGAGGTCCAGCACCGAGGGCCTTCTGGCGGTTCCCTCATTGTGAGTAGACAGAGGGCCTTCTCTGCAGTGGCCCCCGCCCTGTGGAGCACCCTCCCTTCAGATGTGAAGGAAATGAGCAGCTATCCTATCTTTAAAAGACATCTGAAGGCAGCCCTGTTTAGGGAAGCTTTTAGTATTTCATGCTGTCTTGTTTTTAACACTCGATTGGAAGCCGCCCAGAGTTGATGGGGAAACTCAGCCAGGTGGGCGGAGTATAAATAAGAAATCATCATCATCATCATAATTCTACCCCTTTTCACGGCTTCTCGACTCTGGCTTCCTCGCCCCGCCGCCTGGCGGGAGTCTCTGCCCGGGGAAAAGGCGACCCCCCCCCAGTACCTGCCCAGGATCTCGATGTAGACCAGCGCCGGCGCCGTCCGCTCCACCACGTCGGCGATGAAGTTGTAGGTGGCGCGCGGGGAGCCCGGCGGGGAGGGGGCGGCGAGGGGGGCGGCGAGGGCACGGCGGCCAGCAGCCGAGGGAGGCCCGGCCAGAGGGAGGCCCGCCGCGCCCCCCCGCCGCCCCCCTCGCCCTCCTCGCCCCGCAGCAGCCACCAGCCCCCCAGCAGCGCCCCCGCCGCCCCCAGCGCCACCCCCGGGAGGAGGAGGAGGAGGAGGCCGCCTCTGCCCGCCGCCGCCGCCCGGCCCCGCCGCCCAGGCGCCCCCGACCCCGCTCCGCAGCCCCGCCGCCGCCGCCCAGCGCCGCGCCCCCCGAGACATCGCCGCCGCCCGCCGCCGCCGCCATGCTGCTGGGGCCGCCTCGCGGGGCACGCCGGGAAACGGAGTCCGGGCGGAAGGGGCGGGGCGTCGGGCGCGGTGACGCGCTTCCCCCGGAGCGGGCGCGACCAAGATGGCAGCGGCGGCCCGTCAGGCCCCGGCCGTGTCCCGCCCCGCTTCCCGCTGAGCGGCGCCTCCGGACCGCGGGCAGCATGGACGCCTCCGCCTCCGCCTCCGCCCCCGTGGCGCCCGACCGGCTCTTCGACGCGCACCGGTGAGGGGGGGGGCCTCCGGGGCGGGGGGGGGCGGCTTTGGGGCCGGGCCTCCCTCGCTCCTCCTGCTCCCCGCTGACCCCTCGGCGCCCTTCTCCTCCTCCTTCTCCCCCGCAGGCTCCCCGGCGGCGAGGGGCCGCGCCTGCTGCTCTCGCTGCTGCTCTACGCGCCGGTGGGGCTGGCGCTGCTGCTGCTGCGCCTCTTCCTCGGGCTGCACGTCTTCCTGGTCAGCTGCGCGCTCCCGGACAGCGCCCCGCGCCGCTTCATCGTGCGCGTCATGTGCTCGGTGCTGGGCGTGCTCGTGCGCCAGGCCGACCCTCGCCAGCGCAGCCTCCGCGCCCGCGTCTTCATCGCCAACCACGTCACCCACTTCGACCACAACGTCCTCAACCTGCTCACCTCCTGCAACGCGGTGAGCGCGGGGGGGGGGCGGGGGGGGAGGAGAGGCTGCCCCTCGAGGGGGGCAGGAAAGGCCGGGCCGGGGAGCAGCGCCAGGGGCCGGGGGCACAGCAAAGGACACGCTTCTGCCCCAGGAAATGCGCCTTCCGGGAGGTGCAGAGGCTCAGCCGCCTCCGCGGCCTCACGCAATTTCTCCCCTTGCTTCAGAGAGAGGCAGGTCTTGTTAGCGCAGCTTTTGGCAAGGTAAGAAGCACCCGCTGGATCAGGCCCCTGCTTTCCCACCAGATGCCCCAGCAGGACTTCGGCACAAGAGCCCTCGCCCCTCCTCTGGTTTCTGGCATCCAGAAGTGTCATTGCATCTGACTGTGAAAGCAGAGCAGAGCCATTGTGGTTAGCACAAGGCAGTTCTCTCGTTCCCTTTAAAAACCATCCAGGCTGGTAGCCAGCACGGGCTCCTGCAGGAGGGAGTTCCATAGTTTAACTATGCACTGCATGAAGAACAACTTTATTTTATTCGTCCTGATTTTTCCAACTCTCAGCCTTGAATGTCCACCTTTGGGAGTTCACCTTAACGGAATAATCATTGCCATTTGTACGTGTATTCATGTACACAAGAACAGGCCTTTTCTGTGGTGGCTCCCCATTTGTGAAATGCTCTCTCTAGGGATGTTCGGCTGGAACCTTCATTATACACCTTTAGGCGCCAGGTGAAAATGTTCCTCTTCAACCGGGTCTTGGGCTGATTGACCTTTTAAATGTGTTTATTGGGTTGTCTTTGTTTTGGCTTTTATTGTGTATTTTGTGATTTTTATGTTGTAACTTTATGTTGTGAATTGCTACAGATATAGGGCAGAATGGAATTTTAAGAATTAATAATAAATAATAATGGATACAGTTTCATGCAGCACATAATTTAAACAATGGATTTAGCTCCCGCCAGAGTTTGTGCTGGCCCCCAACTTGGATGGCTTTAAAAGTGGATGAGACAGATTCACAACAGAGGGGGGGCTCTAGCCCTGATGGGGCAGAAGGCAGCGCATGCCCTTGAATGCTCATGGCCTTGGGGTCCCTGGGGGCTGGCTTCCCCAGGGCTGCAGGTCCCAATCCCCACCAGTGGAGAGCCAGGCAGGCCCTGACGGATTCTCTTCCCAACAGCCCGTGCTGAACGGCACCTCCGGCTTCATCTGCTGGTCCCGGGGCTTCCTGGAGGTGGGGGGTGCAGAGAGCCGAGCCGAGCTGCTGGAGTCCCTGAAGGCCTACTCCTCCCAGGGGGGCAACCCGCCCCTGCTGCTCTTCCCCGAGGAGACGACCACCAACGGCCGCGTGGGTCTCCTGCGCTTCAGGTGGGCAGAGCCTCTGGCCTGGCGCCAGGCACCAGAGAAGATCCCCCGGGATCAGGCCAAGGGCCAGCCAGCCCACGATCTGGTTCTGATTTTGGCTGACCAGGTGCCTCAGGGGGAAGCCAGCAAACAGTGGGGTGAGGGGAGTCTCCTGCTGAGCGTTGCCCCACTGACTGCACCCTTCCCTCTCCAGCTCATGGCCCTTCTCCATCTTGGACAGCGTCCAGCCAGTGGCTCTGCAAGTCCAGAGGCCTTTTGTTGCTGTGGTGAGTGGGGGGGGGCTGTCTATTTGCTGCTGTTAAGCAGAACGCACAGGAACATCCCCCCAGCAATGGGTGTTTGTGGTGGGTGCTTCCTCCCCCATCCCAAGGGCCAGGGCTTGCACTTGCAGCAGCCCCCACCCCTCTTGCCTTTTACTCTTTTCTTTCTCCCCCCCCCCCCAAGAGTGTGGCTGACGCCTCCTGGGTGACGGAGCTGCTCTGGACGTTCTTTGTGCCCTTCACTGTTTATCAAGTAAGGTACTAACAGTCTCTGCTACTTCCTTGCATGGGGGAGGAGGGGGGGGCCTGGACGGAAGGAGAGGAGAGAGGCTCTCAGAGCAGAAGGGAAGGAAGCCTCTGCCCTTGAGCCCCTCTCTCTGCCTTTGCCAACGGGGGAAGTTTGGTCCTCGTTTTGGGAAAGGGGAGGCAGGTCACCTGGGTAGCCTGGGGCTTGTCCTCCCCTCTTCCCTTCCTTCCTCCCCAGGTGGCTTCCGCCCATCGCCAGGCTAGTTGAAGAAACCCGCGAGGAGTTTGCGCTGCGGGTTCAGGAGGTAGGAGCGGAGGGCTTGGGGGGGCGGCATGAAAGACTGACTGGCACGGCCGTGGTCTTGCATGTTCCTCAGCGGTGGGGTGGGAGGGGGCGTGATGCCCGTGCTGAGGTGCTGCCTCTGTCCGCTCAGGCTGTGTCAGAGCCTGGACTGGGGAGCTTCCCAGCTAGCCCTGGCCTGCGTCTCTCCTCCCTGCAGCTCCTGGCCCTGGAGCTGGGTGTGGTGTCAACTCGACTCACTGCTGCTGACAAAGCCGAGCACCTGAAGCGATTGCGCCACAGCCCCTCAGCCCCCTACAGCCCCCCAGGTGAGTGGGGCGGAAGCGGTTCGTCTCCCCTGCCTCCATAGGCCTGCTTGCTGGCAGAGCTCCAAGCCCTGGGTGGCTCCTGCCTGGGCTCTGCCTGCTCCCAGCTCTCTCCTGGTGGGTGGCGAGGGTCTTGCCCACTCTGCTTAGCAGTAGCTGGCAGGGAGGCAGGGAGGATCCAGGCCACCATGGGGGCTGTGCCCCCCCCCCGGCCACTGTGCCTCAGCCGCCCCCTTTCCCCTTGCCTTCCTTCCTTTCAGCTCCAAGCCAGCCTTCGGGGACCCAGGACCGAGCTTTTCCCAGTGTCGCCTCTGCAGAGGATGTCCGCTGGAGTGGCATGGCTCAGCGTGTCAAAGAAGTCCTGCCCCACGTGCCCCTGGCAGTCATCCGCAAGGATCTAGGTGTGTGGTGTGTGGGGGGGAAGCATTTGGATAAGAGCTTGAGGGGGGATTCTCATACCCAGGAGGGTTGGGGAGGGCAGTAGAAACACAGAATTGCAGCCCTAGTCCAGCCCCTGCAATGCAGGCGTTCCAACTGAAGCGCTCCTGAGAGAGGATCACGCAGCCTGTGGTCAGTGATCTGGTCTCCTTCTCTCTCTCTTCCAGCTCGGACGAACTGTGTGGATGCGACCATTGCCAATCTCCTGGAGGGGCGGGTTCCCTTCATCCCCAGCGAGGCGGAGGCAGAGGATTCCTCGGCTGCCCCGTCCGTCTCTGGCACTCACTACCTCGCCTCTGCTCCCCTGACCCCGGTATCCAACACCCCCATCCCAAGGAGGAGGGAGGGAACAGGCGCTGGGGGGCCATGTGGGGGGGGCTGAAGAGGCGCTGGGGCTTCTCAAGGCTGAGCTCCTGCCCCCCCCCTCTCTCTGCAGGCCCCCATGAAGCTCTTTGCCCGGTCCCCAGAGGCAAGGCACCTCTCTCTCCAGGAGCGGAAGCGGCTGCTGTACGACTACGCCAGGAGGTGAGGCTGGGACCCTTTCCCTGTTGCAGAGGGAGCAAGGGACCCCCCCCCCCAGCAGTCTCTCTCTGACCCCCCCCCCAGCCCATCCACGCTTGCTGTGGCTGAGCAGCTCTGTGCCGCCATGTGCTGATGAAAGGCTCCTCTTGCCTTTGCAGGAGATTCATGGAGAAGCATGGGATGGCGCCGAAGGAGGGGAGCCACTGACCAGCTGGTGTTTTCCTTGAGGACTGCTGGCTTGATCAACTCTGGATCTTTGTGGAGGGTTGCTGCGGACACTGCTGCCCCGCTGGACCTGTGTGGGGTTGGCAGTGTGCCCGTGGCTGCCCTTGAGTGGTGTGCGCCCATCCCGCCTGACTTCTCCGCAGGGCAAGAGGGAGGCTCCCAGCCCCCACCCCGCCCGCTGCAAGGCCCGGACTCCACATCGCCCTGCCGCACAGCCGGGGCCCCCGACGGCCTGCCTCAGAGTGTGGGTGGGAGGGGGCAAGCTTTCACTATCAAAATAAACGTTACTCTAATTCTCATCCTCTCGGACGCGCCTTCCTTCGCTGCTGTTGACTCTGCTTGAGAGGCAGCAGAAGCCCCGCCAAGGGAGACACAACGGGTCCTTGTTCCGCCACCGCAGCTGCTGCTAGGACGGGCCGGGGGGGCCAGGCTGCCTTCCCTCTGGCTCTCCCCTCTGTGCCCTGGCTCCGGAGGGGGTGGGCCCCTGAGCCACTCAGCTGGCGGGCTGAGCTGTCTCCTGCCTCCAGCCAGGCCCTCCTGTCCTGACCCAGCCTGAGCCACACGAAGCTCCATCCCAAGTGCTTTTGAGTGGCTGTTTTGTGTGTCCTCGCCGTCTTGCGTCTCTAATTTCTGTTTCTGTGTGGTGAGAGTCTGCTTTAGCTTTGCGCGCTTTACAGTGGAGGGGCTGCTGGATAGTGGGGTTGGGGGTGATTCTTGCATTGTGAGGGGTGGACTAGATGACTCATGGGCTCCCTTCCAAAGCCTGACGGCCTTTTATAGCTGCTCTTCGCTTAGCAGGGTGGCTGCTGCTTTCCTTTGGGGCGGCAGTCTTGCCGCAGAATGCAGAGCAGGTGCCCAAAGGGGACGCCTTTGGATCCTTGAGGAGGGTTGTGGGGCCAGCCCTTCTGCTCCCCCAGAAAAGAAAGCCCAGCCACTGCATGCTGTTTTCCTTGAGGGGGGGGGTCCATTACAAGCAACCTGAGCCTTGAAAATCACATGGGAGTTGAAAGTGGGCGGTTGTCACTCTGTCCAATTGGCTGCCTGTGCTTTGGACAAAGGGAACCTTCCTGACCACCTGGGGGGGGTCTTAGGCGACCCTGAGGAGGCAAGGGGGTGCTCCCCACACCTGCCAGAAACCAGTGGCTGCGAGTGTGGCGGGAGGAACTCTGCATCCTTGCTGCCTGTATTCTGGGCATCCTTTCCATGAGCGCTTCCTGCATGAGGGGGCGCTAGACTAGATGTCCCTTGTGGGGGGTCCCCTTCCAGGTCTCTGAATCAGTGGGGCAGCCTAAATTGTTCAGGTTCCCCTCGCCCCGCAGTCGTGAGCAGATGATGCTGCTGCGAGGAGGAGAGGGGCGAGGAAGGCTGTCTGGGAGACGGGGGCGCGCGGCGCGCTCCGGAGGATGCTCAGCTGCTCCCTTCTGCTCGGCTCGCGGGGTCGGCCCAGGTCAGCCTCCTCCTCCCGGGCGGGAGATGCGTGCAGCTCGGCATGTCTGGCTGCGCCCCTCCCGGGCGCGCATTCATTCATGGAGCACGTAGCCGGCTACTCTTAAAGGGGCGACAGGAGGCGGCCCGCACTTGCCTTCCTCCGGCTCCCTCCTTCCGTGGCTTCGGCGGCGCCCCGCTCCTTGAAATACCGAAAGAAACAGAGCAGGACTAGGACTTCTCTGGATGCAGCCTGGAAGAGCATTCGCCCTTTTTGCTGCTGCCTCACACGGTGGACTCGCGTGAAGCTTGTGGTCCAGCGAGACCCCGAGATCCTTTTCACATGCCTGCCAGTGAGCCAGGCGTCCCCCGCCTCAGGGCCGGATTGCGGTTTGATGAGGCCCTCAGCTCCTTTCCTTTATGTGCCCAGCTGCCCGTTGTCAACAACAAACTGTCGCTGTTTTTTGTGTTGAATGCAGTATATGCTGTATGGTAACTTTGGGGGCCCCAAGAGAGGGGGACCCTAAGCTACAGCTTGTTTAGCTTATACCTAAATCCGGCGCTGCCCGTCCTATCTTTGGGCACCTGCTTCTTCCTGCCTAAGTGCAGAAACCAGCATTTGTCCCTGTTGAAATTCATGTTCTTAGCTTGCGCCCAGTTCTCCAATCTGTTCCGGTCATTTTGAATTCTGATTCTGACTCGACGGTGTGATGTTCAGAAAGCCTTCCCCTCAGAGCCCTAGAATTGCAGAGATGGAAGCACCCAAGGGTCATCTAGTCCAACCCCGGCAATGCAGGCATCCCTGCCAAAGCATCCCTCCTACGAGGGAGAGACGCCGCTGCTTCCGAGGAAGAACAGCTCTTCCTGTCGAAAGACAGAATTTCGTTTCTTAGCCTTTGGATCCAATGGTTCGGGACAGGTTCTCCCTTCCGGAGCAGCTGGAAATGAGCCCGTCCGATATTGGCATACGGAGCGGCGCCCCCTCCCCTGTCCCTTGCCGGCTGGGGTCCCCACCCCTCCCCGGAGCAGGCTGGCGTCGCCCTTTTAAGGCGCGAGGGTGCCCGGCGCTTCTGTTTACAGAAGGGAGCCGGCTGGGCGTCACGTGGCCTCCAGCTGGCCGGCTGGCTAATGGGACGGGCACCTGCCTGGCACCGGAGGGAGCCCAGGCAGCGGAGCGATGGAGGCGCCCCGGGAAGACGCCCTGCAGAGTGAGTGGCCCTGGGCGGGAGGGGGGAGGGAGGGAGGAGAAGCGCGCTCCCGCGCCGGGTCCCTTGCGGGGCCAGACTGGGGTAGGGGCTCTGGGGCTCCCCCCCCCCCAGCAGCTGCAGCAGCATCCCCCAGTTCGGCCCCTCTAACTGCCCCTTCCCGCCTGCCTGCCCGCTTCCTAGGCTCCTGGGTGGAGGTGCCCCCACTTGACCTGGAGGAGCCCCCCACGCCGGCCTGTGCGCCCCACCGCGACATGGAACGGATCCTGCTGGAAGCGCAGCTGGAGATGGAGCCGCCGCGGGCCGAGGGGTAGGTGGTCGTGGGTGGATGACTCTTTCGTGGGCAGCGGGGTCGGCGGAACTCCTTGCAACTGGCTGTGAGCGCAGCAGGCGAAAGGGAGGCTCTGCGGTGGACAAGCGGGCGGCGGCTGCTAGCTCCGAAGGGCCGGGAAGCGACGACACCGGGGGGCGGCGGCGGGAGACCAAGCTTGGACTGCCGGGTCTCGGGTGAGGGGACGGCAGATCAGCCTCTCGGAGTCAGACAGGCGCTACTGGGCATCCCTGGCTCTTCGCTCCTTCCTTAACCCCTGCTCAGGGCTGCGTACCCAGGGGGCGGCCCACTGCCTGGGGGAGGCCAGCTCTTCCTTCCAAGTCCTCCCGCGAGCCTGACTCGACTCCCCCCCCCCCCGCTATGGGGCTGCATGAGGGGCTCCTTAGGCTTTCACTGGAGTTGGCATAACTGCGCTCCTAAGCAAATTCCGGTCAGCTCCTTTGAATGCTAGGTAATTATTGCACGGATGTTCCCTCAGGACTCGCGGTTCTCTTCCCTTCCCTTTTGGGATGCTCTGAAACGTCAAAGTTTGAACCAAATCGCCTCTCTTGAGATTTGTATTTCTGAACTTCTCACTGAGAAATTGGAAAGTCTGGCTGGTTTTCTTTGGGCTCCACCTTGCCACACGAACCTGAGGATGTGAACCCCACATCCTGCCATTATAAATGTACCAGAGCTGGAAGAATCATGGAATCACAGAATTGTAGAGTTAGAAGGGACCTCCAAGGCCCATCTAGTCCAACCCCCTGAAATGCAGGAATTTCAACAACATGACCGATGCCATCCAACCTCTGCTTTACAATCTCCAAGGAAGGAGACTCCACTGTCAGCCAGCTCAGAAAGCTCTTCCTGGGGTTTAGTCACAAGGAGCCTTTGCTGTGTGGGCTCTGGTTTCTACAGCTGCTCCCCCAGAAAGACCGGCCTGGGAGTGGCCACCAGACGTCTTCCAGGGACTGCCACAGTCAGGACACACAAACCCCCTGCAAGGCTGACCTGGGCTTCTTCTGTGGGTGACAACTCGGCTCCCTTCTCCTGTCTGGGCTCCATTGGCCAGCCTCTTCACCTGCCCAGGAGGACAGGAGGCTCCTGCCTTCTGAAGGGCTCACCTGAGCATCCTGCGGGCTGTGGACAGGTCTGGCCTGGTAGAGATTTCGGTCCAGTGAGGGCATCAGCCTCTCAAGGGCTTCACAGCAGCTTCTGAGCATGCTCACAAACAGCATGGCAGCAAAATCTCTCTTGTGCCTGAACACACAGACAGCGAGAGCAATTTCTCACCAGCAGATTCCATTTCTTGTGTTTCCAGCTCCTTCCGTGCACTGAAGGCGCCTGGTGTGGAGGACCTGAGCCCAGGGCAGGTGAGTGTCAACGCTGAGGTGTGCAAAGGAGCCACCTGGGCCATGGGCTTGTGGTCTTGTGGCCTCAGAATGAGAAGGCGCCAACCAAACGGGGGTCTTGAAAGGTTTAATCTCAGGGGTCATTGTGGTGCCTGACCCATGAAGCACCTCAAGTTCCATAGACAAGGTGTGTTCACACCCACCCACAAGACATGCCCAGATGGTTGCCCAGGTGATATGCCCCCCTTCATCCTTAAAAAAAATTATGGGGTGCTGCACTTTCTCTTTGCAGAGGGAAGACGCTGAAGGGTCTGTCCAGCTGGGGACCCTGCCCTGGTCGTGGCCCAGCCCCCCTGAGCACCAAAAGTAAGGATGGCTCTTCACTGGCTTTCCCCGGGGGTCCTGGCTTCAGGCAGCCCCCCCCAAAACTCTCACCCCACTGCTTGCTCCACTTTGGACTCTGTCTGTCTGTCTCTCTGCAGGGAGCTGGCCTGCCTGCCCCCTGCGTGTGCCCCCCTGCTCAGCCCAGTTCTACACAGGAGGAGGGGGTTGCGGGACCCCCAGCTGCTGCTTCTGGTCATCCCCTCTCTGCTGCTCAGCCACGTCTTGGCCTTTGGCCTTGGGTGAGTCGGGGGGGGAGGGGGAGGCAACGAACCAGGCACTCCAAACCTCTTGCCTGGACTCCTCTCTCACACACAGCAGTGGCCCACCAGCTGAGGAGAAATGGGATCGTGGCAAAACATGGGGATGGGGGTTGATTTTTCTCTCCCTTTACGGAAACACCCTTAATTCTGCCCAGTGCAGGCAGCCCCCTATAGTGTCTGTCTCCTCCCCCTCCCCTCCAAAACGTCTTGAGACCTGCGGTGAAGTCTCTGAGCACCTGGCTGGCTGCTGCAGAAGCGGATGCTGGATTAGATGGGTCTCCTCTGGCCTGATCCAGCAGCCTCTTCTCATGTTCTTCTGCTGCTCAGAGCCTTCCTTGCCTCTCCCACTTGCCTGGAGGAGCGTAGCAAGAGAGGAGCTGAGGCCTGGCCTCTCCTGAGCAAGCCCCTCACTCACTGCCCTCTTCCTCTCCTCTCTCCAGCATTTGTATCGGGAAGCGTCTGGCTGCCTCCCCATCAAGCAGCCTGTGAGAAGACGCGAGGGGCCTCCTGGGACACCCCACCCCCCACCCCAGCTCCCCTTTCTCCACGCTCCCCACCAAACTGTTGCACGGCCCCGTCTTGCCCAAGACCACCTGAGAAGCGGTGCAGAGCCCGGCATCAAACCTGATACCCTCACCCACCCACTTCCGTGTACACAACCTTCCTTGCCTCTGCTGTGGGGCCCAGCCTTCATAAAGACTTAGCCCCAAAGCCCCCTCTCCACTTTCCCTGCTGCAGTGGGGCAGAGGGGATTGGGTTGCTGGACTCCAGTGGCGCGGCAGCAGCTCCCTTCCTCCCCCTCCTCTCCCAGCTAGCAGCTGGGAGTTAGAGCCTGGACACATCTGGAAGGCCACACCTGGAGGTTGTGCTACCCCCCCCACCATGTCAATCCAAGGAGCTTCGGAAAGACAATCTGCAGCAAAGCATGGCAGCTGATCTACTGGAACATGCCGTTGCTTCATTCAAAATAAATCCTGTTTTTCAAAATCCTAAAAAAAGTCTACCAGGCATTTATTTTTAATGTATGGGGGAGAGTAGTTGTGCTTTGGGTGTGGAGTGAGGGGCACCATGTCCTGGCAATGCCATGGGGTAAGAAGCCCCCTCAAATATGTTATTGGTGGAGCCAAAGGGACCTCAGACCCTAGGAGTTGGCTCCTGTGTGGCTGCCTTGGATTGAGGCCTCCTCCGTCACTGGGGGGAGCACCCCATGTCGCTGGGGGGAGCTGCTGCTCTCAGCCTGGCTGGGGGCACCTCTCTTTTCTCCAGTCCCTGGCTGGACCCCACACTGCTCTTATTTTTGTCTATTTGGTTTTCAAAAGTTTACATACTTTAACATCTAATTTATCCAGTGTTTGTTTTCTGGGGGGGGCGCAGCGGTACGATTTGAACTATAAAATTGTGATTTTCTTGAGTCAAAATGAGAGTACCCCTCAACATTTTTTTTAATAGAAAAAAAGCACTGAATTTATTCACTGACTTCCCCTTCCCCTTCCATGATGTTCTATATTTATCCTGTTACAGATGGGTAGCCGTGTTGGTCTGCCATCGTCAAAACAAAAAAAATTCCTTCCAGTAGCACCTTAAAGACCAACTAAGTTAGTTCTTGGTATGAGCTTTCGTGTGCATGCACACTTCTTCAGATACACAGATACACATGCATGCACACGAAAGCTCATACCAAGAACTAACTTAGTTGGTCTTTAAGGTGCTACTGGAAGGAATTTTATATTTATCCTTTAACTTTTGACACTCCATAGAGAGCCCGCACTTCTCCTCGCCACCAGCAGAGGGTGCTGCAGACCAGCATTTGGCTTCTCCTGGCGCCTCCATGCTGGTCTGCAAGCCAAGCTTTCCTAATCCTGACCTTGTTGCACAAGGCAAAACCGAGGGAAGGTTCCACTTGCCTCAGTGAGCCCAACATAGCCCACTCTGACTGGCAGCTCCTCCCTTCCCTGGCCTTGCTACTAGAGCTGCTTATCTGGACATGCATCCTTGGAAGCTGAAATCATAGCCAGAGATTTGGAACAGGCAGGAGAACGGACTTCACACAGCCCCTCGATAGACCTGTGGAACTCACTGCCACAAGAGGGAAAAGCCCACTTGGATGGCTTTAAACGAGGTTGTGGAAAAGAAGGCTAGGAATGGTCACTAGCTACAATGGCCGTATCCTGCTTCCAGAATCAGAGGCAGAGGTCTCTCAATACCAGTTGCTGGGAATCACAAGGAATCAGAGTTTGGCTCTTGAGCTTCGGTTCTGCTTGTGGACTTCTTCCCATTGGCTGGCCACTGGCCTCATCCAGCAGGCTCTTCCTGGCCTCTGGGCACCCCCCAGCACCTTCCATAGCCCCACCTCTGGGACCGTGGGGGCTGACAGCCTCCCTGCCAAGCAGCTCAGTCTCTTCCTCACTGGATCCCTCCGTGGGGGGCAAAGGGGGCAGGCAGGACACAAGCTTCCTTGGCTGCTGCTGCTGCTGCTGCCCAGGCCCTTGAGATGCCCATCGGGGATGCCAAGCCCAGGGGTCAGGAGCCCACGTGGGCCTGGTTCCCTGCCAAGCCCAGGCCAAGCCCAGACCTCCAGCAGCCTCACTCTGTTGGGCCAGGAAGAGGTTGGAGGTTCGTACTCACCCTGAGGGCCTTGCGGGTGCAGGAAGGGACCCTCCCCAATCAAGACTGGCCATGGCAGATGAGGGCAAGGGGGTTGCCCCTCCCCTTTAGCTCCTCGGGGCCACCAGAAAGTGTCTCCTCACCCAGGCACTTGCCTCTGGACTTGATCCTCCGGCCAATCAACTTCACTGGGTGACGACAACCCATTTTTTTTCTAGCAGATGAGACAGAAGGGGAGGAATCTCCCCACTCCAGCTACAATTTTAAAAACTGCTGGTTAAATTCCCATGTGGGTCTTTGATTTTACACACTTTGCATCAGTTGTGGCCAAAATATTTCAGAGCTTGAAACAATAAACCCAAATGTGGGGGTCACTTCCCCAACAGTCAGTATCTTATAATAAAGATCATTGGTTGAACTTTACTGGTGCCCCAATCCGGGTCCTGCAGTGCCCCCCCCCCTGCCAGGTGACTTGGAACAGCAGCATAGCTAGCCACTCGGGTGCCTGGGGTGGTGCGCACGCCCTGCAGCCGGGGGCAGAGCAAGCCGCCCACGGGGATGGGGCGAGCTAAGACCCTCTCCACAGCCTCCTCTCAGCTGTAGGCTGGCTGAGGCGGTGGGCAGACGCAAGCCCTCGAAAAAGCAGCGTGGAGCTTGCAGGCAGTCCGCCCGCCGCCCCCCCCCCAGGAAAGATGTGTGGCTCAGGCAGGCTGCAGGCCCCCCGGTGTGGCGCCCAGTGCCCCCCACCTCACCCAGCTACCTGGGCTTCTGCAGTGGCGCAGGAAAGGGCGTGTGGTGGGTGCGGGAGTTATTTTTTGTCACCCCCCTCAGTGATGACACCCGGGGCGGACCGCACCCCCTGCACCCCCCTTCCTCAGCCACAGAGTAGGAAGTTACATTGCTGCCAGGGGTGGGGAGGGGCTTGTGCTGATTCTGGGATAAAGCAGCCTTCCCGCCCCCCCCCCCGAAGAAAGACTCTGAAGGAGAAGCAGTTTGAAAACAGGCGCCTCACAGGAGTTTATTGAGACCTCCTCGGATACAGTGTGTGTGTCTTCCCTTCTCTCCCCCATCCTTTCATTGGGGGGGGTGCTCTGCAAGTTAAACTGGACAGATCTGAACAATAAAAAGGCTGGTGCAATCCCTCCACGCTGCGGCTCTGTGGCAGGTTGACTGGTGTGGACTGATGGGGGGAGGCAGCCCCCTCACCCCATGGCTCCTTGGGGAGGGAGACCCCCGGACCCTTCTGGGCACGGCACCATCACAGGAACCAGAAACACTTTCGCCGGGACTTCTTGGCCTCCGCTTTCACCACGGGCAGATTCAGCGTTGGCGACGGCTCCTGGTGGCTTGGCGTGGCAGCTCGCGTGGCCACCGGGGGGCTGTGGCTCAGCTCAGGCTCAATGGTGCTCAGCACCTGCTGCAAACGCCCCTCCTGCTTCCGGAAATCATGTTCCACGCTGCGGGGAGGCGGGGAGCAAGTCAGAGGGAGGCGTCTCCCAAGGAACCCCACTCAGCCAACGCTCGTGATTGGGGACAGAGATGGGGGTCTGGCTGGGCTGCCCCCATCCCTCCTGGGGGGCCGTGGGAGCTGGTGCAGAGGAGGCAGGTCAGCTGGCAGGAGCCTGGGGAGGCCGCCAATGGGAGCCCGTCTGCCTCCGCCGACCCTGGCATGTCTCACCCGTCGCCGCAGCGGCAGAGACAGACCCGTCAATCCCAATTAGCACTGAGGCCTTGTGCGAAACACACAGGCAGGAGGCCAGAAGGAGCCGGCGGGCGGGGCAGGCAGGCAGGCAGGCAGGGTGGCGGGGAGAGGAAGAGGGCCCAGTCCTGCCAGGGAGGCTCTGCACAGCCAGCCAGCCAGACCCCCCACCCCCAAAACAGCCTCCGAGGGTCAATGGAAACGTAGGGGAGGAACCCAGAGAAAAGGCTCCAAGGAGCAGAGGCTGCCGGTCTCTCCTTCCTTGGAGGTTTTTAAACGGAGGTCGGGAGGCCGTCTGCCAGGGATGCTTGCGGGGGGCTGGTCTAGAAGACCCTCAGGGGTCCCTTCCAACTCTACAAGTCTAGGATTCTTTGGTCTGTGGAAGATGTCTTCCTTGTGCCAAACAGCCCTCTAGGACTCTGATTCTATGGAACCCAGAGCTCAGCCCACCTCTGCCCCCTGCAAGGAACTGGCAGAGACACCCGCCTCTCTCTGGGCATGGAGGCCCTTTCACCATCCTGGCTCACAGCCCTCCTCTAACCCCTCCTTAACAAATTGTCCAGTAGCACCTTAGAGACCAACTCCGTTTGTTCTGGACAGAAACTTCCGTGTGCATGCACACTTCTTCAGGTAGTAGAAAACTTAGACCCAGAACAAACGGAGTTGGTCTCTAAGGTGCTACTGGACAATTTTTAAATTTATTTTGACTGCGTCAGACCAACATGGTTACCTACCCTCCTTAACACCCACTGAAGCAAGGGGCACCATAGATAGATTGGTGCCCAGGGCTGGGGGGGGGGCTCCTGGCATCCCTCCCCAGCTTCAAGGCAGTGGGAGTCATTGGCTGACTCAGCGTCCCAGGACTAAAGCGAGGGAGGAGCAGGGCCAGAGACGCAGCCTCTGTTCTCGTGCCATGCTGGGGGGGGGGGGCTGCCACTGCAGGGACTCTGTCCTCCTGAGAAACTCCGGCAGGAGCAGACAGGTTGTGGCGGCCTGTCATTCTTCGCAGGCACCCTTCATATCACGTCTGCCAGAAACGCTTGCCTCCGCTTCCCTCAAGAACGTGATTGGGGCAGGCAGGCGGGCGGGCGGGCATGGGAGCCCTTGCCAGCTCCCTTGGGACTTCTCCAGCACCCAAGACCTCTGGCAGCCCCCAGGGCACCCTGAACCCAGCCCACCAGCATCCGGCTGGCCACTGCGAGAGCACGATGATGGACTAGGTGGTCCACTGGCCTGATCCAGCAGCCACACTCTTCTTGTGCCACCCAACTCTATGAATGTATGAAATGTCAGTGTCAAGAATCATAGAATTGGAGAGTTGGAGGGGACCTCAGGGGTCATCTCGTTCAACCCCCTGCAATGCAGGAATCTCAGCTAAAGCATGCAAGACACGTGGCCCTCCAAGCAAGGGCCCAGGTGTCTCTAAGCCGGACTGGGGGGCAGCCTCACCCCCTGCCCCTGTATCTGGTATTCAGAGGCAGAACACAGCCAATGGGGCTGGTAGCCATTTGCGGCTGTCAGCTCCATGGGTCGGGGCCCTGTGGGGCTGCCCCAGCCTTGCAGTCGTTTCTGGGGTATGGTCCAAGCTCCCCACAGGCCCTGCAGAGTCTGCTTCTGCCCCATTGCGCCCCCATCAAAATCCACTGCCCCTGCAGTGCCAGGGAGCCCCAGGATCAGGCCCAGGGCTCACTTAGTCCAGCCTCCTGTTCTCACAGTGACCAGCCAGATGCCTTGGGAAACCCACAAGCAGGATCCGGGCGCAAGAGCAGCCCTTCCTCCTCCTGCAACTGGCCCTCTGAAGCCTGGCCACCTCCAGGGAAGGGGCTCTGCTGGAGAAGTGGGTGGTCTGGGGGGGGGAGAGAAGGCGAGAGGAAAATCTGCTGGGCAGGGAGGAGAGCGGTCTGCCTGAGACCCAGCAGGACCCCCAGACTGGAAAGCAGCCAAAAGACGAAGGAGCTGGGTGGGCTTAGCCTGAAAGTGGGTTGATGGAGGTGGGGAGATGCTGGCCCTTTAGGGAGGGGGGGGTCCTCTTCACCCCAGGCCAACGATGCAGCCTTCCTCTCTCTCCAGAGTCCCCTTTGCCCAGGGTCATCACATCAATAATACTGAACAGGCGTACATTTTATGTTGATGTGAAATGTGGAGGTCAGGAGCCGATGTCTGGGCTGCCGGTGGATCTGTGGCCGGCAGCCGAGAGCAGCCGAGGTGGGGGAAGCCAGGGGGCACCCCTAAACCCCACCCCACCCCGCTCCCAGGCCCCTCCTACCTGTAGATGATGCAGGCGCAGTCCCGGCACGTCCCGCAGTTGGTGGTGTCCTGCCCTGTCCGGTAGGACTGCCGCCTGAAACGGAGCAGAAGGAGCCCATGAGCAGAAGGCCCAGGCGCCCCCTCCCTGCCTGGTCGCAGGGGCCCCCTTTGGTGCCAGGGGGGGGCACAAGCAGCAATGCCCAAAGGGCATCTGGTCAAGCAGCAGGGACCAGGGGGAGGGGAAGCATCAGGGCTGGCTTGGGGGGCCAGGAGACCCCGGGAGGTCTCAGGGAGGGAAGCGCAAGGCAGGCAGCCAGGCCAGGACTCAGGCCTCACAGCGCAGAGGCCGCCCCAAGGCAAGGGGGCTGGCCCCACAGTGGCGCTGCTTCAGCTTCCAAAGTGAGCAGGCACAGTGCCAGGCGATGCCAAGGCTGGCTTGTGGCCCGCAGAACCCGCTGCTGCCACCATAAAAATGCTCCATCATTTAAAGCGCAGTCAAACCAAAAGGTCGTGTTTTGCTGGACAGCTGAAGCTCCCAGCATTTCCCTGTGCGTTTGCTGGAGAGAACTCTGAGAGAGACAGTCCCACGGTGCCCAGGCGGGCAGAGGGCACAGCCATAGAGCTCTTCTCCTTGCCTGCCTGGGCACATGCTCTCGTTTTTGTCTCTTCATCCCCAAGCCAGAAATGGGAGGACAGCTGCGAAGTCTGAGCTCTAATGTTCAGACACCATTTTAAGCTAAACTGAAGTCTGCCTCTCAAATTGGCTCATTTGGCTGGAGCCTGGTGTTGAAAACAAAGGTCACAGGTTCGATCCCCGTATGGGATAGCTGCATATTCCTCCATTGCAGGGGGTTGGACTAGATGACCCTCAGGGTCCCTAGAGGCTCGACAAATTTTGTCTCTGTAACTGAATTACCATTTTAAGCCTGCCTGAATAAAGCTGCTGTTATTCTGCCTCAGAAACTCTAAGTAGATGTTATTTTTATCTCTTACAAGACTGTTTGTGTGATTATTTTTTTAAAAGGGGGAAATATCAGGAGAATCCAGTCTGCCTTAAAACATCCTAGATTATTAAACGGAAAGGCTAAAACTCGCCCATCTAAGCAGCCAAAGGGATCTCACTCTGCAGAACTCACAAGTGTGAGGAAGAAGAATATCTAATAAATATAGCCTCTCCTGGCATCTATGCAACATCCCTGGCTCCAAAGAGTCAAGGCGGCTCTAGCCTGGCCAGTGGGGGCTCCTTGGGCAACCCAGACCCCCCCCCAGACCCGCCTCACCCGTCTCGCTGCGCCTCCTTCTTCTCCAGATCCTGAATGACATCGAGTAGCACCTTGATGGTTCGTTGGCTGGTCTCCAGCACCCCCTCGAGGGACTGCAGCTGGGAGTGGATGTCACCCACCCGCCCGGGGAGGTCCTGAGATGCTGGCGGGGGCGCCCTCTGCGCGGCAGCCACAGACACCAGCTGCAGAAGGTGGTCCTGCCCGCGGGGAAACGTCTCCCCAGGTCCAGCGGAGAGGCAGGTCTCAGGGGGGCAGCTGCGACCGGAGGAAGGCAGAAGGGGGTCCGGAGGCTTCTGGGAAGGCGTGGGGGCTGGGGGGTGGGCCTGAGTGGTGCTGAGGCTCCCTGGGGAGGCCGCAGGCGCTGCTGGTTTTCCTGACTTAGGGGGCCCTGCTGTGGGAAGCAGGAAGGCAGAGGTGGGGTCTTCGGTGGGGGGGCCCTGAGCAAGGGGGCAGGGGGCAGGGATGCCCCTCTGGGGGGCACAGGGAGGGGCTCTCGAGGCCTGCTCAGAGGGGGGTGGGCACAGCCAGGGGGCGCCAGAGCTGCTGCAGCTGCTTGGTGTGCCATGGGGCTGCGTGGAGGAGGGGGCACAGTGCTTGCGCTGGGAAGAGCAGCTGGCCGAGAGACACGGGGCCCCCCGCCCCGGGTACGGGGGGCATGACCCCCGGAGAGCTGGCAGCCCGGGGCACAGGGTGGCAGGAAGTCTGGGGCACTGCTGGGCGTGGGGTAAGGCAAGGGAGCAACCAAGGGCAGGAAGGCTGGCGGTGCCCCCCAGGGGCGGATCCTGGCTGCGGCCCACTGCACAGGGCGCCCCCTCCTGGGCGAGGTCGCAGGAGCTCTTGCTGCGGGTGGGCCGCTGCAGGCTGGGTGACGTCTGGCTGGCGGTGCTGATGCCAGTCGCCCCGTGGGGATCCGGCAGGGCGAGCAGCAGGCGGGGCCCGGATTGGGGCCAGCTCCGCCTGGCGCAGTTTGCGGCAGAGGCACGTGGGAGGTGGCTGCCCGGGGGCTCCTCTTCGCCCTCCTCCAGGTCCTTGAAGCGCACCTGCTGGGCGCGGTGGCGGCGGCGCTGCAGGCGGTCCTCAGCACCCGGCGAGTCGCGCTTGAGCAGCACGGAGCGGACCCCGGTGACAGCCTTCTCTTGCCCGGCCTCCGGGGCTGCCTCCTGGCTGGCCATGGCAGCCCCTTTGCCCCGCCAGGGGGGCGTCACAGCCTCCTGCCCCGCATGACCGCAAGCCGTTCCCCAGAAAGCGTCGATTCGGCTGCCCCCTCGGTCGGGGCGCAAAGCATCTCTCCCGTGGGTCCTGCTGCCTGGGGCTCAGCCTCAGCGACTCCCAAGGGGGCAGCCGGTGCCTCATGGCTGGAGGAGGCCTGGCCTTTGCCCCCCAGCCGGCAGGAACCCCATGGCCTGCTCTCCCCCCCTCCCCCCTCTCTAGGGTCCGTCCCTGGCCTCTGAGAGCCTCTCTCTGGGCCGGGAGAAGGGAGGGGGGAGAAGGGAGCCCATCCTGCTCACGGCTGCTGCTTCCGCTTCCCGAGGGTCGGTCACTTGTGGGGCCAGCAGGCACAGCGCCAGCCCATAGCCTCCCTGGGCAACGGACCTGCAGAGAGAAGAGAGGAGATGAATGGGTGGAAACCCGTTCCAGTTATAGTCCACACTACAACCAGGGCTAAGAAAAAGTAATACAGGAGTAATGAAAATAAGAGAAGTGTTGAGCTGCAAGGGACCCTCAAAGGACGTCCAGTCCAACCCCCTGCGATGCAATGCAGGAATCCCTGACTTGTCCTATAAACCGGCCTTAACGCAGAGCAGATGGGGAGTCATAAGAAGCAGCCTTGCTAGCCCAGGCTCAGATCAAGTGGCCCAGGAGCCGAGGAGAGAGGAGAGTCTGCAGCTGGGTGAGGCTACCAGAGTGGGGCCTCCTAGTCCAGCACCCTGTTCCCCTCTGGCCAACCAGATGCCCTCAAAGGGAAGCCCTGAGAGCAGCAGCCCTCTTCCACTCTTGTTCTCCACCTTTCTAAGATAGACTGATGCTATCCATGGAGGCTCCACTTAGGAATCACAAGAACCTAAAGGGAGCTCTGTAGGAAGAAGCCCTTTAGGAAGAACCTAAAGGGAGCTCTGTAGCAGCTGGATCAGGCCACTAAAGGGGCTGACCATTAAAGAGCAGCTGTGGGGGTGGGGGGTTGCATCAGAGTAGGGCTGAGGGGGGAGGGCTTAACCCTTTCCTTTCCATTCACTTTTCTTCTGAAATAACTCCCCAAGCCTGTCACCCACCCATCCCACCCAAGGTCTGGTGAAACAGACATTTGTGGAGGACGAGAGGGCGATCGATTGAGGGCCACTAGCCAGGATGCCGTGCTCTGCCTCCACAGTCGGAATCCAGTGGCAGGAGGGGAGCGCTGCCATGTGCTCAGCTCCTGCCTGGGGGGTTCCCACAGGTCGGCCCCTGTGAGGACAGGATGCTGGACTCGATGGGCCCCCGGCCTGACCCAGCTGGCTCTTCTGGTGTTCTTAAAGCCCCTCCCAAACGTACCCAGTTTCCTTCCGGAGGCTCCCACAACCCCCTCTGCCACGTGGCCACCCCCTAAAAACACCCCTCTCCTGTCCCTCTGCCACCTCCAGTCTCAGGCAGGATCACAAAACACAAAGCGACAAGCTCTGGTCTTTGGTGCTGCTGCTGCTGCCTCTGTTTGGAGAGAGAGGGGGGGGGAGAGAGAGAGAGGGAAAGGGGGGGGGAGAGAAGGGGCCCTTCAGCGTAAACAGGCCAGGAACGCCAGCCAGGCAGAAGCCACAGCTAAGAATAGCAGCCTGGCCTTCATGGGGAGCAGGAAGAGGAGAGGAGGATGAGAAGCCGTCCCACCGCCTGTGTCGGCCTCCAAGAGGAGCATCAGGGAGGGGACACCCCCAAAGAGCCTTTGCTGTGCCCCCTCAAACCGACCAGGGGATCCATCTCCCAGCCCAGAGGCAGGAGGCGGCCACAGCCTCTCTTTGCCACAGAGAGCATTCCCCGGCTGGCGTCCCTTTCCCCCCGCCACTCAGTTTCCCAGCTGACCTCCAAGTGGCTGTGCCGGGGGGGGGGGAGGCACCTTTGGGAACTGGGGGGAGAAAGCAAAAGGTAGCAAGCCTGTGAACATTTTACATGGTTGCCATTATTATCAATGGCTCAATGGTCCCAGGATATAGAATGACAGAAAGGTCATCCAGACCAGCCCCCCCCCCTTGCAGGAATCACAACTGATGCCATGATTCTGACAAATGTCCATCTGACCTCTGCTTAAAAACTGACAACAAAGGAAAGGAAGGTTACAGCCACTTAAAAATGCAGTATTGAAAAGAGTTTAAGATGAATTACTGTGGGATCTAGGTATCTACCTTCAACAGAGAGCCAGTGGTTAGTGCTGGACTGGGACCTGGGAGAGACTAGGGTATGAATCCCTCCTCAGCCAGGAAACTCCTTGGGGGATCTTGGGGGATCTTAGGATCTTATGCTCCTCTCAGCCTGACCTACCTCACAGGGCTGTTGTGGGGATTAAATGAGGAGGAAGGGAGAGCCATGCACCTGCCCTCCTGAGCTCCTTGTAGAAAAAGGTGGGGTGGAGATTCAATAAAGAAATTAAACCCCAGGTGTCATTGAGGGCAGAGTAAATGGTGTGTCTTCAGCATGCAATGGAACCTGTCCCACAGGACTGTCAGGTGCCATGAGAACAGGATGGTGGACTCGATGGCCGCTGGCCTGATCCAGCAGAGCTCTAAGAAGGCCTAAAGAAGGTGCCAGGAGCCCCCTCTGTAAGGTGGGAATTCCCAGAGAGCCAAAGGAGAGCCCTTTAGCCAGGTGGCTCCCGCCCCCAAAGCCGTGCCCTGTGCACAACACTCTCCCTTCCTGCAGCCGACTTGGCAGAGAGGAGGGAGAAGGAAGGGCAGGAGGGGCGTCCCAGGCAGGCCAATGCCTCCTGGCAAGAGGGCCAGGCCAGAAGAGCCCCCTTCTGCCCAGCTGCAGTGCCTCCCCCCCCACTGTGCCATCGCTTCTCCCCAGCAGGAAGGGAGTTGCCAGCTCAGCACAGCCGCCCAGACTTTCTCCCGCCCAGACTTTCTCCCGCACTGCTAACAAGCAAAGTTTCCAACTGCTGAGCGAGCGAATCACTGGCCTTCCTCAGAGCACCCCAGGAGGAGGAGGAGGAGGAGGAGGGAGCCTGCCTGCCTGCTCCCCCCACCCATTTTGCTGCAGCAGAATTGAGGATTCTGGACCACCTGCCACCCAGGCAGACACCTGGGCAATTTCCTTCCTGTTCCTGGAGCTGTGCCCAGACCCAGACCTGACTGGAAGGGCCTCTCATTAGTATTGGCAACACCGGGCGAGGAGAGTGGCGGGGGGTGGGGTGGGGCGTGCGCCAAAGCCCATGATCACAAGCAGGACCCCTCCCTGAGGGCAGATGGGGGGAAAGAGCTGTCTCCTTCCTTGGGGGCTTTCAAGCGGAGGTTGGATGAGCATCTGCCATGGATGCCTTCGTCAAGATTCCTGCATTGCAGGGGGTGGGGCTGGATGACCCTCAGGGTCCCTTCCCACCAGCATGCTGGGACTCTATGAATGTTCTGCAGACTGAGACAACCAGCCTGGAGCAGGCAGCTGGGGGCTGCAGGCCCTAAGAGGCAATGAGCAGAAGGAGAGAGAGCCAAGAGACACAGTGGCCAGGCTCTCCCACCCCTGCAAAGACGCCTTGGAATGTCAGTGGCAGGAGATCATCCCAAGTGCGGCTGCTGCACTCAGATCCTGCCTGGGAGCATCTGGCTGGCCAATGTGGGAGCAGGACGCTGGCCGGAAGGGGCCACCTCTTGCCTGATCCAGCTCCAGAGCTCTCAGAATATTAGAACTGAAGAGCTGGAAGGGATCCCAAGGGTCATCTAGTCCAACCCCCTGCAATGCAGGAATCTCAGCTAAAGGATCCAGGACAGGTGCCTCTTCCAGGTAACAGCCTTTCAGGTATTTGAAGGTGGCTGCCTCATCTCTTCTCAGTCTCCTCTTTTCCAGGTGAAACATCCTCAGCTCCTTCAACCCTTCCTCATCAGGCTTGGTTTCCAGAGGCTTCGCCATCTTGGTCTGAAGGGCAAGAGGCAAAAAGCCTCCCCACTTCTCCCCCCTTCTCCCCAGCCCACAAGCCTGGAAACGGAGACCCCAGAAATAATGGGTGCCCAGTGAGGCAGGTGGGAGCAGGGCCTCTACCTGCGAGTCCAGGGAAGGCAGGAAGGGGGGCTCCTCCACTCCCCCCCCCCCGCAGGGAGCAAAGGCACTCAGGGAAAGTGAGGCAGGGGCCACAAGAGGAGACTCCGGGGGGCCCTGGAGGCCAGAAGTACAGGAGAGGGGCAGGCGGGAGCCCAAGGAGAGCTTCCATTGCCCACGCCTCAAGTCTGGTTGGCTGTGCCCCACATAAAACTGAACCTCTAGGGTGGCCGCCCTGGAAGGGGGAGACCAAGCAGTGGCCAGCCAGACGGACTGGGGGCCTTGCTCCAATGTGAGGGCCCCCCCCGGAGAAAGAAGCCCCTCCTGCAGGAAAAGATATTCCAACTCAACATTGGGAAGAACTTTCTGCCAGTACAAACCGCTTGGCAGCGGAACAGACTCTCTCAGAAGGTGGGGAGGCTTCTAGGCAGCCGCTTGGTGGTCACCTCAGGGATTCTTCAGCTGCGATTCCTGCATTGCAAGGGGGTTGGACTAGATGACCCTTGCGGTCCCTTCCAACTCCACGATTCCCGGCGCCAAGAGGGAGCACCAGCCCAGCCCTGCCTCAGGCTCTCACCTGGCCCTCAGGGTCACACACACAAGCAGAGAAGCGCTCAGGAGCTCCCAGCCAGAGTCCAGAGGGCGGGGGGGGGGGGGGAGATCCAGGGTCCAAGCTGCAAAGAAGGAAGGAGTGGCAAGCCCAGAAGAAGGTGGTCCCTGGCTGCCGCCCCCTTCCAAGATCCCCTGAAGGGCAGCTGGGCACTTGCATGGCAGACGCATTTCTTAGGGCAGCATGAAGCCTGGCGGGCTGGAGCCTGCTCCCCCAAAGCACATCCCACAATGAAGGGGCAGGTCTTTAAGCCTCTGCGTTGGTCCCTGCTGCCTTGGCCTGCTGGCAAGGGGCGGGGGGGAGGAGGAGACGGGGGTCAGACATGTCTTGGGGTCCCCCTCCAATAATCCCCAGAACCCCCCTTAAAACCCCGGCGGAGCCAGCACCCGGACCTTAGGACTTTTGGCTCCCTCCTAAACTTTAAGACACCGGATAAAACAATCGTCACCACCAGCCCCCCCCCCCCGCCAAGGGAGTTGCGGACGTGAAAGCGGCGACTCTCCGAAGTTCCCTTAAACACCGCAGGCGCCGCGGAGCAAACTTTCCACCCCCAGGACAGATCACCCTCGGCGCCTTACTGCCTCTTTCAAAGGGTTTTTTGGGGGTGGAGGCAATCTAACCCCCCACAGGCGCCACAGACTGGCCCCCCACCCGCTTCCAAGGGCTTCCGCCGCCCCCCATTCCGCTTGCGCGCCCAGCCGCCGCGCCGCGACCCAGAAAGGCGTTCGTTCGCAGCATCCGCCCGGCCGAGGCAGCAGCCACGGCTCCGTAGCAGG